ATTTTTTCTTGATAACTAAAAATTCAATAATCTCTGTATTTAAATTCCAAAAATTGTTTACAGTAGTGAGTTCAGATTGGAGGATTTGGAAGAGAAAGAAAGAAGAGGAGAGGCAGGAAAAGATGTATTCTTCGATCTGAATAATGCTATTGCGGCTGAAGGTCCCATCCCCATGCCAACAGAAGATTGCCACGTCCTTTTGACTCCTTGAATCCTTGACCCTTTCCGTGTATAAGAAAGTGCGCAATTGATTCTTAAGTCTTAGGTGACGTTTGAATGGAATGTTTTGGTATAGTTAATAGTTGATTATTTATATTTAATAATTAATAATAATAATAATTTATAATTTAAAATATTTAAATTATTTGATTAAATTTAATAATTGATAGTTATTTTTTAATCTTTAAAACAAATGCCTCCTTTAATTTCTAAGTCTCTAAGTCTATAGAATTATAATTTTTAAATTCTTAAATTTAAAAGATATATTATTTATGACTTTAAAATCAAATAAAATTATTTAAATTTAAGAGATTAGGATTTAGATTTTTTATAGTTTAATGATTGTAATGTTAGGATTTAGTATTTAATATGTTGTTGTTTATATTGTATTTTTAGGGTTAAAGATTAAATTTCTTAGGATTTAAATTTTGAATAATAATAAATGAGAGTAAAATTTGAGATTGATGTCATATCATTTAAAATATTAAAAGGTAAATCTTATATTATTTAATGATTAATTCTTTTTATTTTTTAAAACTCGTGATATTATATGTATCAATTAATTTAATGATATAGCTAATTAATTCAATGATATAGCTAATTAATTCAATGTTGGTCTCAAATTTTTGTTTTCCCTATCATTACTTTTAATTTTTTTAGAGTTTAGTGTTGAAAGCATTAGAGTTTAGATTTTTTAAATTCAATGTTTAGGATATTAGAATTTGATTTTTTAATATTTAATATTTCAATGTGTTAGAGTTTATAATTTTTTAGGTGAAATGTTTAAATTGTTAAGATTTATATTTTTTACAATTAAATGTTTAGAGTGTTAGGATTTAAATTTTTTACAACTAAATATTTATAATGTGAGAGTTTAAATTTTTAAAGTTTAATGTATATATATGTTCTCAAGATTTAAAATTTAAAAATTTAGTACTTTGAGTGTTAAGTCTTATTTTGATTTTAAAATTTAGTATTTAGAGTTTAATTATATACCACTTACTATTCTAAGAGTATGATTTCACTGAAAAATTAATTGGATGTAAAAATTTTTCTAAACAAAAACAAGGACGAAGAAATAACAAATTATAGTGAAATAAGGAAAAATGAAAAAGTTGTACGGAAGCCTGGGGCGGTAAATGAGGATCCACCATGAGGAAGATCGGATGAAGATGATTCCCCGGTGGTGATGAAAGAGGCGCCCGTCGACTAAGTGTGTGGCGTTTTCAGGCCGCCGGAGCCGGAGGGAGTAGGATTGGAAATGGGTGTGTGGTTTTTTTGTTGGCATCCCGCATCTCGGCAACAAAAAAAATTTCCCGGCAACAAAAAAAAATTGAAAGCAACTGGGCAAAGCGGTCCCTATTATTCTTGCACATGTGGCATCATATGTGGCAGCATATGTGGAAAAATAAATAGAACAAATGGGTTTAACTGTTGACCGTTTAAGGCTTAACGGTCAGCAGTGATGGCAACATGAACAGTATTAGGGGAGCGACGACGACGAACAAAAAAAGCGAAGTAGAGGGACGACGTTTTGGCTCTTTGGTAGAGTAGAGGGACGACAACGAACATGTCCTTAGTAGAGGGACAAGAACGAATAAAATATTAAAGTAGAGGAACAACAATTGGCTTTAAACCATTTATTATTATTATAATTATTACAATTGTTACCTTGATTTTTCTTTTCTTGTATAATCTTGCATGTACAAATATAAATCAAAAAATTCTCTCTTGACATGAATTAAGAGAGTGGGACTAATTCTAAACACTCCGTAAATTGTTTTAAATCTCACGCTTAAATAATAATATAATTATAAATAATATATAA